AAATTTAAACTTATGAAATATGAATAGTATTAAAAAACTAAAACACTTAGGAGCTGCACCAAACGGACCCTAATTCTTTCTTCTTTATTTTTTATTTTTTGTTTTCTATTTTTTGTGGTTAGCTAACCTATCATAAATCAAAATCTTTTAACGAAAATGTTATAATTAATAGTATTACAAGATTATAACATAATATAATATGTCTTGAGATAACTTTTAAGAATTTATTCATAATATTATATATATTCACTTAATTAATAACATATCATATTCATTTAATGTTACATAATAATTATAATTTTATAATTTTATTTTTATATAGGTTTGTAACTATAACACTATCAATCTTTTAATTAGTGAATGTCAATTTTTACTAAATTTTTATTGATTTTTGATTGGTTCATGATTTATGATTAATGAAATGACTAAAGTATTGAGAATGTAAAGGTTTCCTCACGCGTTAGTAAATATTTGAACCTAATCAATTTTATCTCCATCCCTTCCCCTAACAAGTTAAGCCACTTACCATGTTTTTTGGGAAAAAAAAAAAAAAAGGTTAAATGCTAAATTTAATCCCTCAACTTTACGAAATGCACAATTTTGATCCCTCCGTTAGTTAAGTATAATGTGATAATTAAATAATTTCATGTGGTATTATCTTTTAATTTTTCTGATGATGTGACAATAATATATATTATAATTATATTATATAAATAAATAAATATGCCACATAGACTAATATTTATATTTTAATTAAAAACAAATACAATTACCTTATTACCCTTACCCTCCCAATCCTTCTTCTTCCCCTTCTTTCTTTCTCTTTCTTTCTCTTTCATTCTTTCCTACCCTGGGTCGGTGGAAAGATGAACCCAGTAGACGAAACCTAGCCTTCCTCACCTTCCCAATCCCTCTTCTTCCCTTTCTTTCTTTCTCTTTCTTTCTTTCCTACCTTGGGTCGGTGGAAAGCTGGGTTCATCAGAACCCAGCAGACGAAACCCAACAAGGTTGGGTTTCGAAGAACCCAGCTATTGGGTTTCATCAAACCCAGATGCTGGGTTCGTCGAAACCTAGATCTGCTGGGTTCCGATGAACCCAGCCTTGCTGGTTTTGTGAAACCCAGCCTTGCTAGGTTCGTTAAAACCCAACCTTGCTGTTTCAACGCGATTTCCATTCCCAATTGTTAATAAATTTGGGAATTAATTTACAATTTGATTGCATTTTTGTGGGAATTTGATTAGAGTTTGATTGTATTTTTGTTAGAATTTGATTAGAGTTTGATTGATATTGTTTATTGAAGGGTTAATTTGATTTGATAAGATCTGTTAGGTTTGAGGCTTCAATGAAACCTAGGAGCGGGGTTCAACGATAGAGAATTTCAAATTCTCCTTTGGAGCATTCGAGGGTTCATAGACATATTATTTTGTAAGGACTCACCCCACTAGGCACTAGCAATAAAGGCAACCCAACTCGAGTTAGATTGATTTTGCAAAGAGTGAAGATGAGAGACTATTCTAGGGTTCGCATATCTTTATTGGTGGTTTGTAGGCAACGTAGCTTTGGTGCAGGAAGAAGATGACATGTCATAAAAAAACAAGTTCAGATTAGCACCTTTTTAAGTTGTCTTTGCCATGTCATAAAAAATAAAAAATAAAAAATGCCACGTGGTCGAGTTAATGGCCCAAATTGACAGAAGGACAAACATTGTGCATTTCTTAGAGTTGAGGGATCAAAAAAATGCAAAAAATTGTTGAGGGACCAAAAATATGCAACTCACTAAAGTTGAGGGACCAAATTTAGTGGTTAACCTTTTTTTGTTAAATGCTAAATTTGGTCCCTCAACTTTATAGAGTTGCACTTTTTGATCCTTCAACAATTTTTTACACTTTTTTGATCCCTCAACTCTAAAAAATGCATAACGTTAGTCCTTCTGTCAACTTGAGCCATTAAGTCCGCTCATGTGGCATTGTTTATATTTTGTTTGATGACATGGATAATACAAGTAGAAAAATATGCTTATTTGGATTAAAACTTATGCCACGTTACAAATAAACTTTACCCACTTTATTTAATAAATAATAAAAACATTAAAATTACATAAATGCCCTTAACTTCATCTTCTTCCCCTAATTTCCTCTTTTCTCCCGTTTATTCATTAACTCTAAAATTCGACAACTTCTCCCTCCCTCTCCTTGTGTCTGCTAGCTTCTCCTTCTCTTTTCCTTTTTCTGGTGCTAACTTCTCGTCCCTTACCCTCCCATCCCCTCCCATCCTTTGTTTGACTTTTTTTTCTAAAATTTGGGTTTGAGCAAGATCTGGGTTCGAGCAAGATCTGGGTTCGAGCAAGATCTGGGTTCATGTTTTTTCATTCTTCTTTCGATTTTCATTTTCAGTTCTCGATAAATTTGAGAGTTTATTTACAATTTGATTACATTTTTGTTGAAATTAGATTAGAGTTTGATTGATATTGTTTATTGAATGGTTAATTTGATTTGATGAGATCTACTACCTTGATGAACTTAGTGGCTTTAATGAAATCAGTAACTGGGTTCGATGACAAAGAACTCAAATTTTGCTCTGAAACATTCTAGGGTTCATAGTTCTTTGTAGGTTTTAGTACGTTTGATTTGTGATAATATTATGTGGCATAATGTTTTGTCCATATCAATATCTTTTTAGGTTGTTTTCTCCCTGTCATTGACATGTCATAAAAAAAATATAAAAAATGCCACATGGCGGAGTTAACGGCCCAAATTGATGAAAGGACTAACGAAGTGCATTTCGTACAGTTGAGGGATCAAAAAAGTGTAAAAAATTGTTGAGAGACCAAAAATGTGCATTTTGTAAAGTTGAGGGACTAAATTTAGCATTTAACCTTTCTTTTTTTTCATCCCCTCCCCTAACAAGTTAAGCCACATACCCTTTCAAAAAAAAAAAAAAAAAAAAAAAGTTCAAAGATAGTGGAACTTACGCATGTTCAAGGTTAGGACGTGCTACCAACCTAGGTAGTCAGTATGAACTATATACCCATTATAGAAGGTAGGTATCTATCATCCAACTACTAGAGGCACCTTACACTAGCACCTAGATTCAAATCTATGAATGGCCACTCAAAGTGCTCACACCTTATCAGTTGAGCCAACTTCCATAGATTAACTAGAATATGCTCATTGTCATTTAAAGCAAGGATAACGAGGCATGATATATGGGGATAAGAGGAGCCACAAGGTGGATAAATATCTAAAAATTATGTCACTTTTATAAACATTATATAACTCTTAGGTGTTTTTTTTTTTTTTTTTTTCCTTTTGGTAAAGTCTTTTTTTAGCTTTCACAAAACACCGTCAATCTGCTAATTTCTATTTTTGCATTTTCTCAAAGAGATGCATGTATTGTGTCCTCTTTTCCTCACCCCACCATCCTCCTCCACCCACTGCTTCCGACCACCAACACGCTTCATAATGCCCTTTCCTCTTGCACATCCCCCTCCCAAATCAAGCAAGTCCCTGCCCAAAATACTCCGCTCTAATCACTTTAGCTCTCACTCTCTGCTTCTCAAACTCCTCCTCTCTTCCCCGTCCCTCCACTATGCCCTCTTCGTCTTCTCCCAGCGTCCCCTGCAGCTTCTTCCCAAAATTTCCACCCCATTCTTGCTCCACCTTCCCCGCAGCACTAACCCAAAAATCACTTTCTTTGTTTACCAAAGATTGAGGGTAGATGGAGTGGGCATTGACAGGTTCAGCTTCCCCCCGCTTTTAAAGGTAGCAACTGTGGAAAAAAAAAAAAAAGTTGAACAAGCATCAAGCTGAATATTCTTTGGGAAATTAAATCAAACACCTGCTGGTGATAAACAAATTGAGCAAGTGAAAGAAATTGAAAGACAGTAAAACTCAAGTCAATTGGAAGAGGAAAAACTTCTGTACATCTTATTCAACAGATAGAAAATCACCTTACAAATAGGCAAAATACAACTAAATTAAGCAATAAAATAGTAACCACTCAGCCACTAAACTACCAGTAAAACATGCACTCCTAATAACTAGGAAACACAAAGACATGTAGCCAACTAATACCTAAAGAGTAGGACAACAAAAAACAGATAACTAAAAACTTATTCAACAAACCCTCCCTTAAACTGAACTTTGTATCAATGTTCAGTTTAATGACTTCTCTAACACAAACACCAAGCAGTTTCCTTTGTTTCTAAAGTGCTGACAACTTGAGAGGTTTGGTAAAAATATCAGCAATTTGGTCTTCACTTTTGTAGTAGACAAGATCAATGACCCCTTCTTTCACAAGGTCCCTCAAGAAATAATTCCTCACATCTATATGCTTGCATCTTCCATGTAGAATAGGATTCTTGGACAACTTAATTGTTGAGTTGTTGTCATAGAAAATAATAAGTGGTTCCTCTTGTTTGAAATGACATTCTTCAAGAATTATTCGCAACAATATTGCTTGGCAAGCACATGATGTTGCTACTACAAATTCAGCTTTAGGTGTTGATAAAGTCACAATTGGTTGCTTTCTTGATGACCATGAAAAAACTGTTGTTCCAATCATAAAAACATAACTAGATGTGCTCTTTCTATCATCAAGATCTCTTGCAAAATCACTACTTGTGAAGCTAAACATGTTTGACTTTTCCCCATTCTTATAAAATAGACCATACTTAGCTATACCTTTCAACTACCTGAGAATTCTCTTTGTTGCCAAGAGATGCATTTCCTTTGGATTTTCCATGTATTTGTTGATAAAGCTCATAGCATGCATGACATCTAGCCTTATAGCAGTTAAATACATCAAGCTTCCCATTATTTGCTTGTACAAAGTGTTGTTGACTTTCTTCCCTTTAGGATTTCTAACAAGCTTCATTCCTACATCAATTGGTGTGCTGATAGGATTGTAGTCCTTCATTTTAAACTTGTCTAAAATGTCTTAAACATACTCTCTTTTTTTTTTTTTTGAGAATTAAAGATTCCAATAGCAGATTGATCAACTTCTATACCAAAATAATAATGCATTAAACCAAGATCAGACATGTCAAATTCAACCATCATAGACTTCTTAAATTATCAAACATAGCATTATCATTTCCAATGTAGATCAAGTCATCCACATATAAGCAAACAATGAGCATTTTCCCACCTTCTATTTTTGTGAAGAGTGTGTTCATAAGGGCATTTTTGAAATCCTCCTTCAAAAGATATGCTTCAATACCACTATACCGAGCTCATGGGGCTTGTTTTATTCCATAAAGTGCCCTTTTCAACTTATACACTTTATGCTCATTTCCAACCTTAGCATAACTAGGAGGTTGTTCAATAAATACTTGCTCATCCAATTCTCCATGCAAGAAGGCTGATTTTACATCAAGTTGAAAAATAGGCCATGAGTTTTGTCCTGCTAAAGAGACCACCAATTTGATTGTATCATGCCTTGCAACCGGAGCAAAGACTTCTTGATAATCCCCCAAACCCCTGCTTGTAGTCTTTAGTGATTAGGTATGCCTTATATTTGTCAACTTGTCCATTCTCTTTCAACTTTGTCTTGTTTACCCATTCCACACCACTGGTCTTCTTGCCTTTTGGAAGCTTAGTTAACTTCTAAGAATTATGTCTTTCAATGGCTGCAATTTCTTCATCCATGGCCTTCCTCCATTTGGATTCTAGAACAACATCTTTAAAAGCTATAGGATCACAATTTGAAAATAGAGCAAAGTATCTTAGTTCTTCCTTATCAGGTTGTTCAATTCTAGGTACCTCATAATCAAGCATCCATGCAGGTCTTTTTCTAACATGTTGAGGTCGCTATCCATCTAATTCAACTTTTGTAATGAGAGATGGTGAAGTCATTGGAGCTACTAGAATGATGCTTTGACTCTCTAATGTTTGTTGCTCATTCTCCATGGATTGTTGTTGTTTTTTCTCTTCAATTTCACCATCAAAATCAACTAGTATCTTTTGTTCAACTTTGCCTTCATCCTATTCCCAAAATTTTCCTTCATGAAAAATCACAACCTGGTTGATGATAATTTTCTTGGTGTTTGGATTGTACAACTTGTATGCTTTGGAATGATTGCTAACACCAAGAAAGATAGACTTTTCTCCTTTGTCATCTAACTTCTTCCTCTTCTCATCTAGAATGTGAGTAGAAGCAATACAACAAAAAATTTTAAAATGATCCACATCTACTTTTCTTCTGCTCCATGCTTCCTCAGGTGTCATATTTTGAATAGCAAAAGTTGGACTTCCGTTTAGAATATGAATGCTCCAATTGATTGCTTCAGGCCAAAAATTCTTGGGAATGTTGCTTTTCTTCAAAAGGCTCTGCATCATGTTTAAAATAGTAGGATTCTTCCTCTCATAAACACCATTCTGTTGTGGCATAGAGGCTACAGTTAGTTGCCTCATAATTCCATGTGTCACAAAAAGTTGCAAATTCATGTGAGTTGTATTAGCCTCCACAATCAGTACACAACACCTGAATTTGACTCCTTACTTCTTTCCCAATAATTGCTTTAAAGCTTTTGAAAGCTATTAAAGCTTCAGACTTTTGTTGTAAGAAGTACACCCATGTTTTTCTACTAAAATCATCAATGAAAGTAATGAAATAGTGTTTACCTCCATTGCAAACTGGATTAATTACTCCACAAATATCATAATGTACAATCTCTAATAGCCTTCTTGCTCTAGTTGAACTCGCTTTTGGAAATGGATCATGGTGTTGTTGACTAACAACACATTCTTCATAAACATTTGAGAGACTTTCAAAAACAAGCAGAACAGTCACCATGTTCTTTTGTTGAAGTTGCTTAAAACCACCAAAGTTTAGATGACCATAGCGAGAATGCCACAGCCAAGCCACATCATTTGTTTTTGCCAAGAAGTAAGACTAACTAGCACAATTGAGATGAAGAGGAAACATTTTGTTAGCTATCATTGTAACTTGAGCAATTAAGCCCAATTTGGAATCTTGAATCCAACACACTCCATTTTTCATGATAATCGCATAACCCTTATCTCGCACTTGATTAATGCTTAACAAATTAGTCTTCAATTCTAGAACATAAAGGACATTAGAAATTGTCTGAGTAACATTACCCCTGATTTGAATGGTCACCTGTCCTTTTTCCATGACCAAGACTTTAGAATTGTCTTCAAACTTCACATTATCTCTAAAAGATTCATCCCAAGTGGAGAAAGTCACCTTGTCTCCACACGTATGATTACTGCAACCAGTGTCTAGATACCACAAGTCTTTGTTAGTCTCTTCTCTAGCATGACATAACATTAGCAAGGATATTTCCTCCTTAATTTCTGTAAAATTTGATTTTTCTCCTTTGTTGTTAAGTAGATTAGCTCGACATTCAAACTTGTAATGCCTATACTTCTGGCATTGAAAGCATTCAACTTTAGACTTGTCTGTTAACTTTTGTCTGTAAGAAGTCTGAGATTTGCTACACCTTCTTCCTTTTCCTTCAAAAAATTGAGTTTGCTGATTTCTTCCTCTACCTCAGTCTCTTCCTTTGTTTGATCTATTTGAGAATGAAGAAGAGGTGCCAATTGTGGCCTTCAAAGCTTGCTCATTTTGTTGATTTAGCTTCTTTTCATGCATTAGCAATGAACTTTGCAAATCATCTAGTGTTAATGCATCAAGATCATGAGACTCCTTTATAAAACAGACAACACAATTAAACTTAGGTATCATGGATCGAAGTATTTTCTCCATAAAAACAATGTCCTACATCAGGTCACCAAGGATTTGCAACTTGTTGACATTATCCTTGAAAAATACTCTATCACAAACTCTCCTTTCATTTAAAGTGTTTCAAACTCTGAATAAAGTGTTTGTAGTTGTTGCCTCTTTGTCCCTATTGATCCCTAATACTTCTTCTTCATGGAGTCCCAAATTTGCTTGGCACTATCCTTACAAAGAAGAGTTTCCAAGATTGTTCAATCAACCACTTGGAAAAGATAATTTTGAGCCTTGAGATCCTTCAATTTCAAAGCCTCCAACTTTGCCCTTTGAGCTTCTGACATCCTAGAGATTGGTTTTACCATGCCAGATTTAACCACAATCCAATACTCCTTGGACCTCAAGAAGTTCTCCATCAACATGCTCCAATAATCACAGAGACCATCAAAATGAGGAATTGTGAGCTGCACAAAAGTTTCAGACATCATTAGCTACTATTGTTGCTACATTTGGTCCTTTCAATGTACCAAGTTTTGATACCAAATGTGAAAAAAAAAAAAAAAGAAAGAAAGAAAAAAGAAGCTTGAGCAAAGCTTTAAGCTCAATATTCTTTGAGAAATTAAATCAAACACTTACTGGTCATAAACAAATTGAGAAAGTGAAAGAAATTGAAAGACAGTAAAACTCAAGTCAATTGGAAGAGGAAAAACTTCTATACATGTTATTCAACAGATAGAAAATCACCTTACAAATAAGCAAAACTACAACTGAATTAAGCAATAAAATTGCAACAACTCAGCCACTAAACTACCTGTAAAACATGTACTCCTAATCACTAGGAAACACAAAAACACGTAGCCAACTAATACCTAAAGAATAGGACAACGAAAAACAGATAATTAAAGACTTATTCAACAGTAACGAAGCTTTCAGTTTTGGCTGAAGGAAGGGAGCTTTATGTGTTGATATTCAAGTTGGGTTTTGATTCAGACCCCTTTATACAAACAGTTTGGTGGGGATGTACTCTAGCTGTGGAAGGATTTCTAAGGCAGATTGTTGTTCAATAATATGTCTCATCGAGATATTGTTGCATGGAGTATAATGAATGATGGGTACTCATTTTTTATATTATCTAGTGATTAAATCTTTTCTATATATGAAATTAATGTCTATTTTGATTGATGAATTTTGGTGGTTAATAGGCATTGTCAGAACGGGCTTTTTAATGATGCCTTGGAGCTTTTTGATGAGATGAAGAGAGCCAATGTTGAACTAGATGAAATGATTCTTTCCAAAATTCTTTCTGCTTGTGGCTAGACTGAAAATTTAAGTTATGGGAAAGCTATAAAATATACATGAATATATTATTGAAAACAATATTCAAGTACACTCTCATTTAGAGAAAGCTCTTGTAGCTATGTATGCAAGCTATGGTTGTATGGATGTTGCTCGGGGATTGTTTGATCAGATAGGTACAAAGAACTTAGTTGTTTCCACGGCCATGGTTTTGGGGTATTCAAGAATTGGGCGAGTTAATGAAGCTTGATGGATTTTTTATCAGATGGTTGAGAAAGACTTGGTGTGTTGGAATGCAATGATATCTGGTTATGCTGAAAGTGACTATCCTCAAGAAGCTCTTAGATTGTTTAAGGAATTACAAATCTTGGGAATAAAACCAAATCAAGGGGCAATGTTGAGTGTCATCTCAGCTTGTGCTCATCTCCGTCTTCTAGATTAAGCCAAATGGATCCATGCATATGTTGATAGAAATGGGTTTGTAGGAGCCTTGTCTATCAATAATGCCCTGCCCTTATTGACATGTACTTCAAGTGTGGGTGTTTGGAAAGAGCAAGAGTTGTTTTCGAGAAAATGGCAAGAAGCAATGTAATATCGTGGACCACCATGATCAATGCATTTGCCCTGCATGGGGATGCCAATAATGCTTTAGAATTCTTCTAAAAAATGAAAGAGGAAAATATAGAGCCCAATGAGATTACATTTATTAGTGCACTGTCTACATGTAGCTATGCAGGGATAATTGAGGAGGGAAGCAAAATCTTTGCATCTATGATTAATGAGCACAAGATCACTCCTAAACATGAGCACTATAGTTACATGGTTGACCTATTTGATTGTGCTAATCACCTAAGAGAAGCTTTTGAGGTTGTAGAGACAATGCCTCTAGCACTTAATTTTATCATCTGGGAATCTCTAATGGCTGCTTGTCAAGTTCATGGTGAGACTGAATTAGGAGAATTTGTTGCTAAAAGGCTTCTTATCATGATGGGGCTCTTGTGTTGTTATCAAACATCCATGCTAAAGAAAGAAGGTGGGAAGATGTTGGAGATTTAAGGAAACTAATGAAACAGAGAGGTAGATTCAAGGAAAAAGGATGTGGTAGGATAGAATTAGAAAATGAGGTGCATGAGTTTTTAATGGCAGATAGGAATCAAAAACAAGCAACTAAGATCTATTAAGAGTTGGATTAGGTGGTTAGTCAATTAAAGCTTGTTGGCTATTCCCTTAATGTTGGCAATGTTTTGGTTGATTTAGAGGATGAAGTGGTTCTACGGTATAGTGAGAAGTTGGCACTCTGTTATGGGCTCATCAGGGGCTGAAGTAATTCACGTATTAGTACAGTTAAGAATCTTTGGGTTTGTGAGGACTGGCATACCTTTATAAAGATAGTTTCAAAGGTTTGTGGGAAGGAAGTTATTGTCAGAGACAAGAGAAGGTTTCACCATTACAAAGATGGAGTTTTTGCTTGTAAAGACTATTGGTGACTTTCTTGACCTCTCTTTTATAGTTTTACCTTAAAGTTAGAACTTGCTCTTTAACTTTCGTAACAGATAATCATGAAATGTATGCATATATTTGCTAGCCATTTAAGATGGTATTTGTTTGTACTCTAAATGTATCTGTTTTGATGTAAACCCCATATTGCTGCCGCATATTATGGCAAGAGACTAGGAGTAAGCCTAGTGTTCTTTTGCTTCTATTTGCCAAAGTTTTGATAGCTTTATATTCCACTGAGGTGCCAACTTCATCAAAAAAAAAATATATATATTTATTTATTTATTTATTTATATTGTAGGGAATTTCTTTATACTAATTTGATAACAGAAAACTGAAGTGCAGTCCACGCATGACGAATTATACTATAGTACCCTCATTGGACAAAATAAAATGTACTGTTCAATTCTAGGACATTCGGGTGTTCACAAATTGGGTTTTCAAGTCAAGAACTTTTCCTCTCCATTTCTATTTCCTAAAGCTGCAAGGAAATATTGACCGTTGGGCATTTCCTAGTCCTACACAAAATCAAACAAATTTGAGGAGCCAAAAAAAATTATAAAAGGAAACTCTCATAAGCTATGAGAACTGGGATGTAGATGAGCTTGAGACTGGTGTCCCTTCTTAAGTTGGGGTCTTGAGATGTTCTTTTGCTGCAAATCCACTTATTTGGTACTCCAAAGCAGAGAACAGCCAGAACTCTTCATTCATCCTTCTTACCAATCTGGAAACCCTATGCTTCAAGAGATCAAATGCAACTGAAAATAACCTTGAATTTTCCATAATCAAACTCTGACGATACTCGAGAATCCAAGTATTAGGGTCTAACTGCACAACAGAGGCACCCCATTTCCCCTGCAGCCATGAAGCATTTGCCTTCCTAGTTGAAAACCCAACATTGCCATCCAACCACTTCAAGATCAAAACAAACAGGAACGGAAAAGATTAAGAACACATTTGAAACCTAAATTAATATATATATATATATATATCAAGAAATATTTTTGGCATTTACCTCTATGACTCCGCCAGATATGATGGTAAATGATCTCCAAGAAAATCCAGTTGTGAGTAACCCTGCTGTTTTCAGAGGCCAGCCCCATATTCTTACCTCCTCCACTGCCGATTTGTACAATACACAATGTGAATACAAGAGCGGACCATCCTGGAATGATGAGCTAATTTTGTTAATTAAAGACGAAACCTTGAAAGATAAAACAAATTTTATGGAGAGAGAGGAAACTGAACTGTTAGAGACCTGATTAATTTCCCAGATAGAATCAGTATTGCTGCAATTTGAAACTTTTCCATGAACAAAACCCTTCAATTCATTCTGCAAGAATCTCAGCTTGGCATTCAAATCTTTCACATCAGTAGATCTTTCCCCAATAGATTTCACTGTTTCCCTTGTTAAAACTGGCCTCAAAACCCCAGAAACTAACCAAGGAAAGCCAAATTCCACCACAAAGAACAAAGTTAATCCCAATAGAAACCACCGAAGAGCACCCCCAAAGGCTCCCTCTTTCTTTGTCGACTCTTCCTCCTTTTGCAGGCTACACCTTGCAGTCGATTTCAGAACTGGAGATTCCACCGCAGGGCAAGAACTCGATCTGGGTGTCGACATAACCGAAGGATCGAAAGTAATCGGGGTGCGTTCTACATTCGGCAGCGGAGACGAAAGCTTAGTGAAAGAGCTTTTCTGGACGCTGATGGGCATGAGATCGAGAGTTGCGTTGATGCTAGCCAAGCACATTTCGCAGTTGCAATTGGCATCTTTTTGGCAACCAGGGTAATAGCAGCTGTCTCGGGTTTCGCTCCGGCAGTCTTCAACGGTGGTGGTGCTCGATTTAGCTGAAGATGAAGTAATCGTGAACCCTTTCATGGCTTCTTCTTGATTCTTTCCGTATTTGATGCAAGTTTTGAACTTTATTCTGAAAGTGATCTGTTTGAGAAGATAGAGGATTTTGAAATTTGAAAAATCCAACGGTCATCTGCAGTTTTATTTTCGTCCTTCACTCCCTCTG